AATAAAAACATCATCGCTTTCTCAAAATCACATAAAGTCATATTATAACATCGACTGAGATAAAGAATAAAATAAAATATTAAAAATACGATGTATCTCGCTGCATTGCGCGAGTACGCTTCTAGTATTATTAAATCAAAAGTAGATTATTTCGTTATTAAACATAAATTAAATTATTATAAAAAATTAAATTAAAGAAATTACACAAAAACCGAGAACTTTTAAATATGTAATTTGATAATAACATCAATACTTTTTTTTCAAATTTATATTTAATTCAAAAATAAAAACATCACCGTTTTCTCAAAACCACGTAAAACCGTATTATATCGACAAAGACAACCAATAAAACGAAACATTAAAAAAAGATGTATCTCGCTACATTGCGCGAATACACTTGTAGCATATTTAAAATTAACAAATAATACATCAATAAAGTAAAAGAAAACAATCAAATATCACGTTGCAAAACTATGCGTTAGGTCATGACGTGACATAAACTTAACATGACGTGAGACACAAATCTTGAACAACGACGTGTTATGACGACTGTTGCGACGAACCTTTTAGAACAGTAACGTCATAAACAAACATTATTTTTATAAAAACAATTATTTTTATAACTTAAAAAGAATGTAGAACACAATAGAGCCAACAATCCAACGAATATTTCCATTATTAATGAGTTTGAGCCAAATCTCAAAAATACAACCCACCAAGCCAAAAGTACAACCCACATGCACCATTTTTAACCCAACAACAAAAAAAAAGTAAACTAAAAGGTGGCCGTCACCATCGTTGATTTAATCGGTATACTCCCGGCACGTGGCCCCAGGCTGAACAGCCTTCGCCGCCGGCGACGCCTGTACATCCGGTGTCGGAGGAACAGGCGTGACTAGCAACTCCGGTGGCAGATCGGCAGCTAAACCCTGCAAGTAGAAAGTATAGAATAGCTTGAAAGGAAACACTATCTGCTGAAGCTTCACTTGACCATACGCTCCGGTGAAGATTCCGGTACCGCCGGTGATGCAAAGATAGGTTTCCTCCGTCGTCAAGTAAGCACCCTGCACTGATATCTGCCCATATTCTCCCAAGTGAAAGCTATAAGAAGCCTCGTATCTGTCCCCTTTCTTCTCCGGGATGTTTCTGATCAGAATGCAAATTCCGGCGGTGATCCCCAATCTCGTTTGAAGATCCGCACTGTAAACCTGTACCGGAATCAAAAATCTCGCCGTCAGTTTCCCTCGCCGGAGTAAACCGACCCACTACTAAATCTGAAGTAAGACCTTCAGATCTTTTCCCCATTTTTTCCGGTGAACTAAATAAAGATCCAAACTAAAAGCAAAAAGAAATTACTTTATTGGAAAACGGAACAAGATCACCGAGGGAATTCACAGGTTTTTGACCCAATCGGAGATACACAGGGCTGCCACGGTCTCCCTCGTTCATCTCATACACACAGAGTTCATGAATTTTAGCTGCAAATCACCACAAACCATCGAACAAAATCAAAAACCCATAAATATTTTTACAAAAATCTTGGAGTAAAAACTCGATTTCACTTACTGGGTCTTGAAGATTCTGAAGGGTTGCTCTGACTCTTGACACTAAACGCCCTCCGGCTGCAGGAGCTGTTGGTGGCGGTGGTCAGTCTGTGAGTGAAAATTGGGTTATTGGAGTTTTTGAATGAAAGGAGGTTATTAGCAGGTAGGAGTTGAGGAGGTTTGACAGCTGATAACTTCAAAGATGCAGGGATTGATTGAAGAGAAGCTGAAGCAGCAGCAGCCATTGATAAGGTTTGTTGGTGTGATTTCAAATGTTAGTGACAATGATGAGTTATAAATACATGTGTCTGTGTATGATATACATATATATATAGGCACACAGAGACAGAGGGGTGGTGGTTTCGTGGAAGTGGAAAAAAAATCTCTCAAACCTCGTCTTATTCTATTTAGCCCATCTTGTCAAAAAAGCTGATTATCGGTGTTCCAACCGGCTCCATGTGAAATTGGTTTTTTCGGAACCTGTTTTGTATTTGAATAAAGTTGTTTCGTCTTTTTACGAACTAAGTTATTCGTAAGTTTCTTAAAAAAGCACGTTATGGATGTCGTCTTGCCATGACACGACTCTAAGCACGTGACTCGCAGTATGGCGTGTTATAGCGCATTATAGCTCGTTAAGAGGTGGATGAGTTCCTTTTATATGTATAAATTATGGCTTGTTAAATCAGGTTTTAATGATTACAATTATTCCCTGGAAATGGGAATTCCTTGAACAACAAATTAAAGGTGAGGAAGATTTTGAATTTAATTTGGATGACAAAAATAAATGATGATAATTACATGGAAGGATAATTTCTTCATAAGATATATCAAATCTAGTCCACTCTAAGGGTGCGTTTGGTTTGCGGGAATATAATGGATTTGGAAGGATTTGGATTTCAAATTCATTCCAATCCTATGTTTGGTTTGCTAAGTCATCAGGATTTGAAATCCCGGGAATCCCTTAAAATCCCGTAAACAAGGGATTTGAAAATCCTTTGAAAAAAGGCTGGATTTAGAATCCTAAGGCAAACCATTTCTTCTTCGACGCTTCACGCTCTCGCCGGTAGGGGTGCTCAAAAACCCGATGAACCCGTGAACCCGACCAACCCAACCTGAATTTAAAAAAAAAAAACCCAACCCAAGGTAACCCGATGCATGATCGATAAAAAAAATTAGCCAACCCGGCCTTATTGGGTTGGAATCGGGTCAGGCCCAAAAAAACCCGACCAACCCGACCTTAACTTTAGCTTTGAATTGTATATGACAATCACGACATGACCACCTCAACGTCAAGAAAGCGAAAGCATCGGGGTTGGAAACGTCTAAAACTATTGTTATTGATTGATGTATTATCATTTGGTTTAAACATTTTTATTGTAATATCTAAATATTTGATGAACTTGCATATTATCTTGAATGGTCGGTCGTATTTCAAAAGAAAGTTTCATTTATTTTTATGTGATKTTACATTGTTTAAACACAACCCGATCAACCCGAACGGGTTGGGTTGGGTTGGGTTAAACTTTTGTTTGGGTTAGGTTGGGTTGAAAATTTTCAAACCGCCAACATTGGGTTGGGTTGTTAAAACGGCTCCAAACCGATCAACCTGCGCCGTGAGCACCCTTACTCGCCGGTGTCCCCTCCACCTCCCCACTGCCCTCGCCGCCGCCGGTGCTCTCCTCCTCTTCTCCTCCTCGTCCGCTTCCCTACTGCTCGCGCCGCTTCCCCACTGCTCGCTCCGCTTCCCCACTGCTCTCGCCTTCTCTCGTCATTGCAATCATCGGTGTCTCCTCCACCTCCCCACTGCCCTCGCCGCCGCCGGTGCTCTCCTCCTCTTTTCCTCTTCGTCCGCTTCCCCACTGCTCGCGCTGCTTCCCCACTGCTCACGCCGCTTCCCCACTGCTCTCGCCTTCTCTCGTCATTGTAATCGCCGATGCTCTCTCTCCTCTTCTCCGCCTTCTCTCATCAATCAGCAGGTAAGAACATATATCTGCCCTCGTTGTGTCTGTAGATTTGCATATGTTATTTAGGAATTCCTATTAACATTTATTTAGGTTTCGTAATTGATCCGGTATTAGATTTACTTATTAGGTTTCAATCATCGTCTGTGGAGTTGCATATGTTATTAGGTTTCTATCATCGTCTCTGTAGATTTGCCTGACTGTGGAATGGATTTCAAATGCAATCCAAATCCTGCAAACCAAACACAAGAATGGATTTTAAATCCAATCCAATCCAAATCCCATGGAATCCAAATCCCTCATAGGAATCCAAATCCCTCAGAAACATTCACGCAAACCAAACGCACCCTAAGAGTGCGTTTGGTTTGTACGAATGGAATGAAATTGGGGGGATTTGGATTTAAAATCCATTCCAATCATGTGTTTGTTTTGCCAAATTATCAGGATTTGAAATCCCAGGATTTCATTAAAATCCATTAAACAAGGGATTTAGAAATCCTTTGCAAAGGGACGGGATTTCATTAAAATCCATCATTCCTCCCGCTTCCCTTCACCTCGATTCCCTCCCACCGCTTCCTCCCGCTTCCTTTCACCTCGTTTTCCTCCCATCGCTTCCTCCCGCCCTAATCAGTCCTCCTCACCGGTGCTCCCTTCCCATCCCCTCGCGAAGCTGCGCCCTAATCGGTCCTCCTCGCCGATGCTCCCTTCCCGTCACCTCGCGAAGCTGCGCCCTAATCGGTCGTCCTCGCTGGTGCTCCCTTCTCGTCCCCTCGCGAAGCTGCCTCCCTAACCCGCCGGTAAACCCCTCCGCTTCGCCGCCTTCTCCCATCACTCAGCAGGTAAATCCTTTTCCCCTTTTCTTGAATGTTTTGGCTTCTGTTAATAACAGTTTCAAAATGTAGTGGTTTGATGCTTTTTCTTGATTTAGTTCTTGAAATTGATGCTTTTACATCTTCCTGTCCCCTTTCTTGATTTAAATTTACCGAGTTCTTTTCTAGCCGTTGAACGTCTTGAGTATGCTTTAATGTAACGATCATCTAAGCTTAAGGCTTTTGTACAATCGTCCTCAGCTTCCTGGAATCTAATGAATTGAAAATATGGGGACATAAATAAAAAAATGTAGAATAAAGTATTTATTAATATACAGTGTTTGAAGGATTTCATTTACATGGATGATATGCAAATTTCAGGCATGTATCTGTTGTTGTGTAGTTGAATTACTTGTTGAAATTCTTTCATGCTTTCATGGTAATCCAGCTAGATGTTGAAAAGTGAAAACTTGTTTTTTTAGCCAAGGTGAATAAACGGATTTCAAATCCAATCCAAATCCTGCAAACCAAACACAGGAATGGATTTTAAATCCAATCCAATCAAAATCCCTCCTGCAAATCCAAATCCCTCATAAACATTCTTGCAAACCAAACGCACTACGTTTTTGGCTTATAGTATTAGAATTTTAGATTATATATATATATATATAGGGGGCCCATTCAAGGGAGAACTGACTAGTTTGTGGTAACCGTGAGATCCAATCTCAACCACAAATCAATAGATAAATTATGAAATTTATAATTTTGGTAATTTTTAATTAAAATTTTAATGCGAGGACATTTTAGGTATTTTATTTCCTCTCTCCTCTCTTCTCTCTCCGTCCCCGTCTTCCTGCCACCATCCTCCGGTGATACCACAGTATGATACTCAAGCACATATAAGATACATTGTAATACCAATGTGTTATATATCTAATCGACCGCACAAACGACCACAGTGTGATACCTAATCACATATAAGATGCATTGTGATACCACTTTGGTATCACCGGAAGACGGTGCCCGAAGGCCGGGGAGAGAAGAGAGGAGATAGGAGAGAGGAGAGAAAATACCTAAAATGCCCTTGCATTAAAATTTTAATTAAAAATGATCAAAATTATACATTTCCTAATTTATCTATTGATTTGTGGTTGAGATTGGACTTCACGATTACCACAAACTAATTAGTTCTCATTTGATTAGGCCCCTATATATATATACACTTGGGATCATGTGAGACCAAGGGTTTTTCGTGAGACCCATAAGACCAATTCTCAACCCTTGGATTAGATCTACAATCTGAACATTCATCATCACAAAATTGCTACGAAACTTCTCAATAATCACAAAATTGTCACCGTGCAACTTTAGACCATTAGATCATTAGCTTATAAAGTTGATCAATGAACATAAATTGGTCTTATGGGTCTCACGAGAAACTCTTGGTTTCACGTGAACCTAACCCTATATATATATATATATATATATATATATATATATATATATATATAGAGGAATGATCATATGAAAACCGCCTTC